AAAGTACAACTTGGAATTACAACTTACAATGACACTTGCAATGACTACTTATAATAAGTAGTAGTGTGTAGAGAAATACAGATCTATAGATATAAATATTTAGTATATTATTATTATTATTATTATTATTATTATTATACTATAGTATACTATTGTAAAACATCGTATAGGGTTATCGGGAAGTGTTAGGTACATAAGTTTATTTACATTTTAGTTACAATTTATTTTTGTCAAATTCAGCCTGTTTAGTTCAGGGGTGTCAAACTGATTTTTGTCGCGGGCCACATTGTTGTGACCGTTTCCCTTGGAGGGCCGTTATGACCGTGAAAACATAAAGAAGTCAAGAATAATGGCTCATTCAACGATTATTTAAGTTAGTGTAATGAGGTTTTTTGGTCACAAGAAAATGCTGACAATATCTCGCTTATTTATTACATATGAGAAGTTGAAATTTTGGTCCAGATTTTAGTAATCATCGTAGAAGTTGACATGTTTGAATTGCTTTCGCGGGCCACATAAAATGATGTGGCGGGCCAGATCTGGCCCCAGGGCCTTGATTTTGATGCCTGCGATTTAGTTGTTCTTTTCACACGTTTGAAATAAAGAATCCATTCATCCATTCATTCCTTCAACCCCATCACATTAAGTCATTGCAAACACATGTACATTTATTGTTGTCATGTCAGTCAACCAGTGTGAATGGCACTTATTGTCAACGTCTGCGTTTCACATCCTTGCATCTGTCTGCGCATTTGTTAGGGGGCTTAAGACCCCATTGGTGTGAGCCCTGGGAATGAGTGTGTTGTGTGTGTGTGTGTGTGTGTGTGTGTGTGTGTGTGTGTGTGCAAATTTCCTCTATTGTCGGCTGTCACCTTCCGAGATTGATGGTACTGAAAGGCAGAGCTGCCTCTCACCACCCCGACGAAGCATCAATCGAACACATCCGTGAGATATTAGGTGGTAATCTCAACAATAATTCAAAGCGGCAAAGTGGAAAATGAATGCAACAGCGATATGCTTCCAGGCAGAAAATACATATTGTGACGTTGTAAAGGGGATGTGGGAACATTTATTTTGTCGTTGTGAATGATGAAAAGGTACAATTTAACTGCTCCGAGGAAATGTTCAACGACGAGCTTTATTTTATTTGTATTTTTTCAATGTCCAGTAACAGATCTACATTAGCCATACTTGCAATTGCCCCTCAAGATGGCGTTGGAATTCTTTCTAGGGACGGGCAAGTACCGATACCAGGTGTTGGTATTTGCGATGACGGCCGATACCGGTACTTCTGGTGGTCGTTTTGTAATCAGGAACTCAAGGCATGCATGACAGACAGAAGTCATGCAAATTAAGTTACATTATTAGATTATAGATCTCCTTCAAAAATATATCTGGATGAAATAAGATTGAGTAAATCCAACACACCATTTTTTTCAGTGTATAGACAAGCAATCATACACTCTCACAAGCATACCTCAGAACAATTCAGTGATCAGTCAAAACTGTCACGCATGCTTTTTGGAATGTGTGAGGAAACCGGAGTACCCGGAGAGAAAGTTGTGGAATGTAATCAAAGTTAGGTAAACTTTACTCAATTTACACATTTCATAACTTTTGAAAAAATATTCTCTACCTAAAATATGTGATTAAAATTTCCTCCATTACAGTAAGTGGTGGCAAATTGTTACCCGACATTTATTGGGCAGATTGTACGGGTGTTTAATACATATTGATATTGACAGGAAATATTGATTGATATGTGCATATTGATAGAAGGGTGTTTAAAATGTAGTTCCCGGACAGGAGAGCAAAAGGAAGCCCAAAGAGGAGATTTCTGATGTGGTAAGAGATTACACTATACGATGATAACGTGTGAAAGAAAAATACCAAAAGAATAAAGAGGAGACCTCGAAAGGCATGATTTGCAGTTGCCAGCCAACCTGAGAGGAAAAGGCCAAAAGAAAAGAAAAAAAGTCGAACGTCCAAAGCCCACTGCCCGCAAATTTGTAGGATTTGGAATCTGATGGCTTGGTTGCACTAAACTTGGGTCATTTCATCATGTGTCACATCACACGAGACCTCAGTAAACAGAAAAGGGGCCGATAATGTGTGTCCCGGAAGTTACAGACTTTGCTCATTTGCACTTGTTATTAGTAATGGATGCATGTAAAAGTATTACTGTTAGCGGTTCCTTTTACATTTTTTTCATGACAGGGGTTTGTGATTCGAAATGTTGGAATTTTCCTGGTAAAATATTCCAGGTGGTTTGTGCTCCACCATTTATTTCCATGTAAAAAAAAAACATCTGTGGCGATGAAAGTTTTTACAGTATGCATGCTTTTCTGCTGGCTCTCGACGAAGGCGGACGCTTTTCTGCTCAGCTCCTTCCTTCCCCACCCTCTCCTTGCTCGCCACTCAGTCTACGTGCTGTCTGTGTCTAACTTTTCCTAGCCTCCTATCGTACTTTCACCCTCAGAATAAACCATGGAATTGGTTGGCTGGTCCCTCGATGCAATCGACAAAATTTTCTCGACGAGAAGAGCAGGCAGTGGGGAGCCTACTTGCCCCTCGGGGACATTTGCTGCCGGATACGCCCTTGATCCATGGAGCAAGTGGAGAATGGTGTGCCTGTCAATACTGTCCGTTGAGGATGTGGAAGACATCTACATTATTGGCCTTCTGATAACAGGTATGCTGCTGTTTGGTGTTAGCAGTTTCCTGTTCTATCGCAAAATTCAACCGATGGGAGCAGCTTTATTGGACGTGAAGAAGCTGCCGGTCATTTTGGATGGTCTGGCGCGAATGTCCAATACACAGACTCAAGCGGTGACTGAGCTCAACCGCAATATGGACGCGGCTTTGGGGTGTCTCCGTACGATTGGCGACAACATGGTGAAGTTGGAATTCTCGCTTCGGAAAGTAAATGAGGATTTGGCTGATCGGCGCCAGTGAAGGAATACAGCCACGAACTCAAGGCCACCTGAAATTGTTGGCGGCCGTCCCAAGACAAAACAACGCAATCTGGACCCTTTCCCCTGGAAAGTACGCATGGAAACAAAAAAAAAAAAACATACATATATGGTTTATTTTAAATTATCATTTGCATTTGAGAAACAAACAGATTTAAATTTGAATCTCATCACGTTATGTCTTGTGTCTTGTTGTAACTGTCATATGCTTGATGTGCAGGGAATTTTTTTCTCCTAGACTTAAATTATCCTCAGAAGAGGATAGTTCGAGCATGGTTTTTTTATCCCCTCCTTCCCTTGTGTTTACTTTTCTCATCTAAGATCTCAGGGCGCTGTACTTACGGCGATTACCGACAGGCCCTTCGCACTGTATCCCATGTTCGTCTTTGTTTTTCATGTTTCTTGTGCAAAGCGTGCCTGTTAAGTCCAATTACCCCATGGGGATGAATAAAGTTTTCTGAATCTGAATCTGAATCTGAATTATAATTGTGTTGAAGACTTACTTGGTCTGTGCTGGGAGTATCTGCAATGTCGTTCATACTCCTACTCTGAGCGTGTCCTGCTGGGTGACAACAACAACTCCGATGAAACCTTATTCGTTAACTAAATATTCAGTTTCCTTTGAAGTCGAGTTTAGCAATGAGTGGACCATCTCCTGTTTGGGGATTAGATTGAACAAAAAGAAATCCATCCATCCATCATCATCTTTTCTAGCCCACTTCTACTGTAAAACATGTAATCACATCTGAAAATTCATAACGCTTAAAAAATTTGAATCAATCAAATGCTGCTGTCAAAGAATTGTTCTTTCTTTCTTTCTTAAATTTTGTGTTTACCCTTTAAGTATTTGTCGTAAACGTGAAGCCTGTTTATCAAGGGGATACATTCCTGAGACAATCCGTGGCATAGCAATACAATATTTTTACACTTCTGCCTCCCGCCCCATTTGACAAAATCAAACTGATCAAAACACATTTGAATTTATGAAAACATTCTTCCATAGCGTTTCCTTGTCGATAATTGGAGGTAGCATCCATTGGAGGAATCAAAATAAGAATACTGTGGCTTGCACAGTTCTCCAAAAATGTGTTTGTCACTCCTGCTTGAAGTTTATCGCAAAACTGACACATAAACAAACAAGAAACAAACACTGAATAATGAAATGACAAAATGTTCAACCAAACCATATACCGGTAATTTCATTTTACAAATGTCTGCTAGCTTACTATCCACAGAAGGGCTAATTGATTTAGCATAGAAAAAAAAGCTAACAATTGACATATTGACACTCACTGGGTAGCAACACACAAACACAGCTTTCAAAATACTCGCAGGCATTTATTACTGCTGCTCTATTATGTAAGGGAGCTTCTCTGTCTCTTCTTCTTGTCTTAAGTAATTAAGCTGCATCAACATCCAGCAAGTTGTGGCACAACTCGGTATTACACAGAACGCACACAACTCTCAATCCAATTGGTCCCTTAATGTGTGAGGAGTGTGGTTTGTTAAATGCCCACTTCTGTTATGAAATTGAATTGAATTACATTTGAACTTGCCTGCACATTGTAGAAACCCGCCTAAACAATATACATAAAAAAGATCGCTTCATTAAAAGTCTGAAATATAACGGCGATGTGGAAGATGAACCGCAATATAACGATAGTTCACTGTATAATATTTTGAAAACTTGGACACTCACGCAGGCGGCCATAGCTGCCAGACTGCTGCTTGATTCGAATGTCCTCTGTGGATCGATTGTAGTTGGCCACCGGCATCGGGCCAGGTGCCCCTCTCGGCCCCACTGGACGAGCTGACAATCAAGAGGCACAATCAAGCAAAAAGAAGAGGGCAGATGTTCAGCTCTACGGCACATCTAGCAGCTTACGCCCTAGATACCATGTGGAAAATTGATAACTAGGAAGTTATCATACACTAATAGATTCACTCGGGACATGTCTTCATTCGCAAATAGAGGAATCTTTGAATAATAATCAGAAGGTGTGACATTATTTACAACACGTAATAACTCAGAGGAGTAAGAACACAATTCTACATGCTTCATTTGTAATGCCTTGCCTAATATTAGAATGCAGAGCATTGAACAGATTTTTTTTTCTTTTGCTTGCATTTAATTCGCCGAGCAATGGGGCTTCGTTTTTCAGTCAAGCAGTAGCTGCAAAACTCACAGGTGGATGAACTAGACTTCCCAATGTCAGCTAGAGAGCGATGAATTGGCTTCTTGGTCTGGTGTCGATGTTTCCTCAACAGAACAAAAGTGATTTTCTCTCGCAGCTCAGGCATGATGATGCCTTCCTCTATCTGTCTCTCGATGATGTCATCTATAAAAACAGACACGACCGAATAATTAGGGCCTGATTTACCAAAAGGGTTTGCGTGTGCAAAAACAGGCATAAACTTTGTTCGCCGACGCAAACAAATGTGGAGGCTCGTCTATCACAAGATGATAAATGTGACATAAAAGTGGAAATTTAAGGCCACTTAAATTTAAATGAGTTTAAGTGACGATGTAGCTCGCCGTGTTACTGTCACACAGTTAGGCTAGATAGAAAAGTGTGGCTGTCCCTCCCCATACAGCCCCCCCCCCCCAAAAAAAAGCTAGCCACTAACCTTTGTATCTCACATGCGTTAAATTCCTTTTCAGCATAGATGAATGAATAACTGAATTAAATTTTGGTCTACTGAGAGCAGAGCTCAGAAGGTATAAAATTGCAAAATAAATCATGTTATCTTACTGAACCAGCTCCAACACTCTGTGCACACCCAGAATAAAAACCACTTTTGGTTAGATCAAGAGTTCAGGCCCAGAAGTGCAGAACCCAAAAAAATGTTGTCTTCTTCGTGGAATAAACATGCGCTTGACCACATTACTAAAGATGTACACATTAAAATGGTCTAAACTCAGTTCTCCTACTATTTCTCTCATATACGGCTCTATTTTCGTGGACGGCACATGAGAAAATGCTGGCGTAGCCTGATTTCCATGCAAGCGCAAGCCTCATTGCCTCTGTTTGGGAATTCACTAGACCAGGGGTGTCAAACTCATTTTTGTCGCAGGCCGCATTTCTGTTACCGTTTCCCTTGGAGTGCCGTCATGATTTCAAGCAGATAAAGAAGAACGGTCTATTCTACTCTTGTTGAAGTTACTGTCATAAGGGGTTTTCTAACAAGAAATATTATAAATATTATTATTTAGTACATCAAAGAATTTTTAATTTTTGGAAGAGATTTTAGCAAGCATCATGTAAGTCGACATGTTTGATTGGCTTTCGCGGGCCACAGAAAATGATGTGGCGGGCCAGATCTGGCCCCCGGGCCTTGACTTTGACACCTGTGCAGTAGACCATTCTTCGCCAAGCTGGGCGCTCCAACTCACTGAATCTGTGTCCTTTGACATGTGCCCGTCTATTAAACTATACGCCCGCTGGGATCCCGTATAAGTCCACTGCAGTAGGTAGATCGCTGGTCTAACGCCATTCTGCTGAAGTTGATCAATATCATTATAGTTTTTAAATAATCCCACTGGCTGGTCCGCAGCTGGGTAGGGACTTGGGGGTTGGGGGCTGGAGGTGGAAATAGATGTGGGTGGTGTGGAAAGATACATATTTAATTAGCCAGCTCATTCTGGATATAGTTTGATGTGTTTTTCACAAAATCAAGTGTATGTTTTCAGTTATTGACAGAAAAAGCTTGGGTGGTCAAAAATGTTGATTATGAGATTTTTTTCCAAACCCACTCTCCTTTTTTTTCAGCAGCCCAAAGGTAAAAAAATTAGTTGAAGTTCATGGAAATAAGTCAACAACGTGCATGGTAATGAAGTAAACTAGTCAGTTGACATCTCTTGAGATGTCAAACTACCTCCGATTTTTAAAAGGTTAAAATCTACCAGCTGTTGGAATTGGCTTTCCGGTGGTTTTCCAACATTAGCTGAAAGTTTAGGGTCAATATCTTTTTCCGAATGTACTGGGTATCAAGGACCATTGAGAGATGTATGTGGCAAAATTTGAAAGGCGCTTTTCTCAAAACTAGAGATTTCTACCTGCCAACATTAAAACTTTGGTGAAAACATAGAAATATAATGATGTAGGTGTTTACGTTGTCTTTTGCCACATCAGCCAACAGTCACGCACAGATTAATGCACCCCTTTTCCACACAGCGATAACATTATGCAAGACTGTCGTTGCACTTTATTTAAAGGGAAAAGAGAGGAACCGCTTCAAGTCGGCTATGTTCACCCCCACATCGGCGCAAATTGCCCTTATCAGGCACTTTGTGTATAGTGGCGACGGGGCGCTTCTGACCTTGACTCAGGACGTTTTGAATTGGAAGGGAGAATACTTTGAAGACCTCCTCAATTCCGCCAGAATGAATGACTGAATGAATGAACGAATGAATGAACGAATGAACGAATGAATGAATGAATGAATGAATGAATGGGAAACTTTTTGGAACAACCTGGTGGTAGTTGTTGGTAGAAAATCTGCCCCATAGTTCTGAAGTTTGGAATTTCATGTCCCCCGCTGTGCCGCCCCTGATTTCTCAAGACGGGGTCTACGAAACGACTTTACATGTTGTCTATGGTAAACACTTGCAGTGAGTGCTGCACATCAGTGGTTAGAACACATACTTTGAGTAAGTTACCGATGTTTTATTTTAACGGCTCACCATAATCTTCAATTTATGAATTACATCCCAAAAAATAATGAAGTGAGAAAAAAAAAATTACTTATGATTTGTTTTCCCAAGGTGCAACAGAGGGATTATAGAGCCACATGCAGTTCTCAGTTCTGGTACTCCTATTATGGAAAATTCTTTCCATCCATCCATGCATACAGCTGTACGTCCGTTCGTCTGTCTGTGTATACATACATTCGTCCATCCATAGATAAATACATATGCATGCGGGACATGGAACAATAAATTGCTTCCACAAAAAATGTAGGCATGCAATTCTAAATATATTACAAAGAAAGAAAAGAGATCTTCATTAATGGATCATCTCCCACGTAAATACATATAATATTCAGATGACATGAATAAGGTAATTATCATTCAATCATTTCTCATTATGTGAGCGGACTTTTCTTCACATTATGCGCATATTATTTTCATGAAGAGGAAAAAAGTACGTCTTGATTAATGCACCATGTGCCCAAATGACATGAATGAATTTAGTCAACATCTGTTCAAATTCTGTTCAAATCATTTGGCCGTTTTAGGCCAGGCATCTAACACTATGGTGATGTCATATGGATATACATTAACAGCCATGACATGCAAATCTCAATTCAGAGTCACTTGTAAGTGGTTCATGGGGAAATTGCGGTTTGGGAAGCTGAAATTATAAATGCTCATCGACGTTATATTGAGCTGCTCATCAATATATTGCTGACTACACACAGTACAACTGGGTCTGCAGCTTCTGTTTGACCCTGAGTGAGTTGTATTGTGCCAGTAACTGCACGTCAGCATGCCGTACTCTTAGACAGGATTGCATGGAATGTATGTCTTAATAAAATGCTTTCATTGCTTCGATGGCGTGTAGTGCAGCAGAGCAAATCAATTGGCTTTCCGAGTTGTTGGGGAAACGATAAATAAATGTCCCTGAACCCAAGAAAGCTTTATGGCATTGCCTGCACCACTCTACTCAACTGCCCTCCTCCTCCTCTCTCTGACTTTGCAGTGCCCTGTGCACAATACACAGCAATGTGACCTGGCCTGTGTACTTGGTATGCCATGTAATAGTGCAGAAAAGAAGGGCCAACATCCACAAGAAATTTGGAAGAGCACCATGTAGGTGTAGTGCTTCTCTCTAGTTCAGTGGTTCTTAACCTGGGGTTCGATCGAACCCCAGGTGTTCGGTGGATCGGTCTCAGGGGTTCGACGGAGCCTATGCCATGGAGGTTTTAAGAAATACCCGACTCAACATGTCAATGAGTTACGACACGCCCGCTTGGCCATCACTGGCTGCAGATGATCACATTACATTGCTTGTCCAATCAGTGCTGCGGGGAATTTAGTTCACTCAGTAGTCAATGTGTGACTGTCGTGATAGTACATCGTAAAATTAAAAAAACTTCTACTTATGTCTTGAAATCTTATTACTTTTCTCTAATAAATGCATTTTTTTATGTCTTTAATTTGTAAAAAGTCATATTTTTGTTTATCATGAATAAAGGGTTTGGTGAATGTGCATATGAACTGGCTGGGTTCGGTACCTCTAACAAGGTTAACAACCACTGATCTAGTTGTAAGCAAAAAAAACAAAATCACTGCATTGACTACTGTTGAGCTGTGTTTAGCTTTTAGTACAATACATTTAAATGGAATCTTTGAGACATGTTTGTCTTTAAACTTTATTTAGGTACAATTTTTATTAACTTTTCATGTGCATTACATTTTAAACAAATCATTATATACTTTATGTTCCCTTGTGTTCATGTTTAAACTGGATGCTGTTGCAATTGATATATATTCAATACTTTTTAAGAATTGAACCTTTTCAACACTTAAGATGACTATGCTTTTGTATTTTAATGCCGGTGATGATGGTGGTACTTGGGGACCACAGCATGGCTTTAAAAATGATATCAACTTGTGATGCAGCTTTGTGAAAATCACCTTCTTCTAGTGTAAAGTCTACAAATCATTATCATGAATAAATACAAATGAGAAAATAAATAAAATATCCTTAAAAATATCAAACCAACAATAAAAAAGTTGTTATTGAGTGGCCCTGATGCTTATAGGCATGTGTGTAACTGAGGAGCAAATCCAACGACAGGCTACAAGTTGGAAAAGAACAGCAATGAAACTCTCTGGCTGACAAAAAAAAAAGATTTCTAAATGTTTGGTTTTTGTTGTTATTATTCTATGATTTATTCAGTATGTCGTAAATTGTGCGATGCATTTCGCAAAGCTTCAGTTCTTCAGCTGAGCCTGCCTCACTGTCGAGGGGAAATCTAGCTCCCTTTAGGCTTAATTGCACCCATTTTTTTTTCATTGAGGAGAAAGCCTCAGTGCAGACAGTACAGTAGATCAACAGAGAGCTGAAGCCTGGCACACAGACAGTTTTGCCCCCTCTTGCCTCTGCATGTAGCCAGCCCAACTTTATATATTTGACATTTAAAGATAAAAAAAAAAAGCTTTATTGAAATAATTTTTCATCTCACAAACTCCAACACGAGGCCTCTGCCAAATTTTAAAAAATGGTCTGAAACCATCCATCCATTATCCGAACTGCTTATCCTCACGAAAATAACAAATCCTTGCATTCAAGAATATTTGAAACAGCTCTTGCTTTGGATATCAAAATAATATATTGTGCTTGTTGTCATAACGTGACTGATTGCTGTATATTTTCCGTGTTTAGTCGACAAAACCATTTATCAAAGAACTTTTATTTTTGAGTATTGGTGAGAAATGTGTCATTTTAATCTCTTTTATCATACCCAATAACTCTGAGCGCCTGGATTAAATGTCTCCCACTAATGCTTGACAACAGCCAACATAAAACGTGTTGTTTACTTTTGACAGAAGTGTTTTGTGCCGAGAAAATGTATTACTTTTCTAATCTGCTTATCCTCTCGAGGGTCACGGCCGTGCTGGAGCCTATCCTAGCTGTCTTCAAGTACACCCTGAACCGGTCGCCACCCACTTGCAGGGCACACATAGACAAACAACCATTTGTGCTCACACTCACACCTTGGGACAATTTAGAACAGTGGTTCTTAACCTTGTTAGAGGTACCAAACCCAACCAGTTCATATGCACATTCACCTAAACCTCCATTAGTGAAAAATAAAAATAAGATTTTTTTTTACAAATTCAAGACATAACAAAACACATTTATTAAAAACAGAAAAAAAGTAAACACAATGAGTATGAAGTATAATTTTTTTAATTGTGCACAAAATGAACCAGCCAGTGATGGCCAAGTGGGCATGTCATAACTAATTGATATGTTGAGTTGGGTGTGTCTTAACCTCCATGGCAGAGGCTCTGTCGAACCCCTGAGACTGATTCACTGAACCCCTCCCCTATGTATGGCGGCCCGGGGGTCAAGTGGTTAATGCGTCGACCTAACACTGTAGGGGTCGTGGGTTCGATCCCGGCTCCGGCTTTCCTGTGTGGAGTTTGCATGTTCTCCCGGGCCTGCGTGAGCTTTCTCCGGATTTCCTCCCACATTCCAAAAACATGCATGTCAGGTTAATGGAACACTCTAAATTGTCCCTAGGTGTGAGTGTGAGCGCGGATGGTTGTTCGTCTCTGTGTGCCCTGCGATTGGCTGGCAACCGGTTCTGGGATGGGCTCCAGCACCCCCCGCGACCCTTGTGTATATATATATATAAATAAAAGAGAGAGACTGATGTCTTGCAAGTAATGAAAAGCTCACCAACTATTTGGGGCAAAGAATAGCCATCCAGGTCCAACAGAATGGTTCCTGTTTGAAGACACGTCCGAAGCTCAAAAAGACTGTGCAAGGACAGCGTGGACACATGCGGTTTGCTCCACCTCTCGCCTCCCTCCTCTACTTTCTCTTCAAACTTGACCCATCTGTAACAAAATGTTGAAAACAATGAGACACAGCTGGCGGTGCAGATTTCAGGCTTTTGAATGTGGCGCACTGTGAAGGTGAAATAGAGTGAGCGATTCCTCAGCTGAGTTCTGAGGAAACTGAATACTGTGTGCTTTAGGCTGCCCCTTTGAAGAACTCTCCAGAGGTAAAATGTTATAAAAATGTTCTGTCTTTTGAGTGTTATCACCACTGAACAGCTATTTCTCCTGTAGTGTTTGATTTGAACTCAATTCAGCAAAATGAGTCCTCCAAAGACAAGGACACATTAAGTTGCACAGATTTTGTGATGTCTTCATTCATCGGGGGCGTAATAGTTCAGTGGTCGAGCAGTCGTCTCCCAACCCAGAGTTTGTGGGTTTGAACCCCTGCTCATGTGACCATGTCTTAGTGTCCTGGAGTAAGCTACTGCTTCTGATGCTGTGTCATCAGGAGCTGGATAAGCAGTGAATGTGAAGTGCTTTGAGCGCCTGGTAGGTGGAAAAGTGCAATACAAGTGAAAGCCTCAAAGCCAATAATTATTAAGAGCAATATTAACCAATTGATTTGGATTTGCCAATGATATGTAAATGTTATTGTATTTTTTAGAGTGGTTTGCACAGTTGCCTCATACTTGAGAGGTTCAGGGTTTCAAATCTTGGTTTAGGTCACACTGTGTGGAGCTTGGAAGTTTTCCCCATGCTTGCATGAGTTTTCTCTGGGTACTCCTGCATCCTTGCACATGTGAAAAACTTGCATGGTACATTAATTGAAGACTCTGGATTGCCTGCAGGTGTGAATGTGAGTGTAAATGGTTGTTTATTTACATAATCAATGTGATTGACGGTTTACCTCTTACACTTAAGTCAGCTGGGAAAGATTCCAGCTGAACCGCAACTCTAATGAGAACAAGCAGTATGGAAAATGGAGGAATGGATATTTCACACGTTAAAAAATGTCAAAAAAAAGTTGTTAGTGCAGAACACTGTGCAATCAGATGAAGTGTACAGTATCTCCAAGGACACAGCTTGCATCTGATTGCATATACAAACTACAAATCCCAATTCCAATGAATTGTATTCCATTTTACGCCATGTTGCGACTTCATTGCCACTGGGGTTTGTCTAATGATGCAGACTAAGTATGCAGCATTAATGAGCGACAGCATCCACCTTGCAGACTCCTTCCACTCCAGTTCATCCCCTTCACGCTGTAGAGTGTCCATTTCAGTGAAAAGTGTCGGCGTGGGAACGTCATCGTCCTCACTCAGGATGTAGCGTAGCCGCTCAGCTGCTGGTGACACTTGGTGGAAAACAAGACAGGCCAGGAAGAAAGACATTACTAAAATATAGTATTCAGCCCATGCTTGCATGGGTTTCCTTCCATAATGAAGAAATATTGATGTCATGTTAATTGAAGACTCAAAATTACGGTAGTGTAAATACGAGCATGTGAAGCTTCTTTGGGTACGTTTATAGGTATGCACCTTGTCGGTGACCAGCTTAACCAAAAATAGCGGGTATAGGCTTTAGCTCATGGCCCTAAAAGATAAATGGTAGAAAATGGAACGCACGGATGGATAATGAATGGGTCTTAATGAAAAAGTTCAGGCATATGCCAGAGGTGTCCAGTTTGGTACTGATCCAAACGGGATTGTTTGGCCTTGGAAGAGGAAAGAAGAAATCATTATAACCACTGTGACAAATCGCCACTGCTTCCTCCCTTTTTGCTGTTTGGCAGTCAACCACTGTCAATCAACAAGACGTTAATGACCACCTCAAAGATCGTTCTGTATTATAATCGGGTTCTATGTGTTTCTTTTACTGGAAATATCATCCATCCATCCATCCATTTTCCGATCCGCTTATCCTCACAAGGGTCACGGGGGGTGCTGGAGCCTATCCCAGCTGTCTTCGGGCAGTAGGTGGCGGTCACCCTGAACCGGTTGTCAGCCAATCGCAGGGCACACAGAGACGAACAACCATCCATGCTCACCCTCACACCTAGGGACAATTTAGAGTGTTCAATCAGCCTCCCATGCATGTTTTTGGAATGTGGGAGGAAACCGGAGTACCCGGAGAAAACCCCATACTTTCATTTCATAGTAAATTATGCAAACAGTAATGAAATGAAACAAATTTTTCATCAGTCTTAAATGCAGAAAACTAATCAATCAGCCGGTGTTAATTATTTTTTTCATCCGCCTTTCAAATCATGGCTCGTGTACAAATGGCAATGACTGCAGAACGAAAACACACGTGGGTTACAAATTACTGCAGCATTATGGATATTCAATCATGTGCCCTGGAACGTACAGTACAATCCAGTCAGTGTTGTATGGTATGGATGAGGACTAACATGATTTCACCATTGGTGCTACGGGATAACAAGCTTTCTGCGAACATATAGGCGGATGTAATTACTGTACACGTGCCTTCTAATGTCATCAGTGATCAATACAATTGATGTCCACTGCTGACAGCGGTGCTTATTCCACTTGTTATGTTATTTTTTTGGGAACCGGCAAGGCCAGTTACATATAAATACAGAAAATCAAGAATAGAAGTATGAAAAGTAAAAAATGGCTCACAAAATCAACAATTACCATGACCAAATTATGCCAACTGGGTGGCGAGTTTGCTTGAGAAACCCAAGTAAAAAAAAAAAGGTAGGTTACAAAAACTGGTCCTGCACTGGACTTTGAAAACACGATCATAGACATGGTGTGAAATAATGCTGCACTAATATGACCAAAAAAAACAAACAAAAAAAGTGTGTGTGTGTGTGTGTGTGTGTGTGTGTGTGAGTGTGTGTGTGTATTTGCGTGTGCGCATGTGTGTATGCTTTTTGATGCCTAATATGGAGCTGCTAGCCACAGCTACATGAGTCTGTGTGTCACGTGCACTGGAGTCCACTGCCAAACACACACACACACACACACAGGCACACACAAACAGTTTACCAACTGAGTTGATAGTAGTGCTCGTCTCTAACTTACTTGTGCGGTTTATGTCTTGGAGACTCGGGTCTTGCGAATCCATGAGTCCTTCCTCCATGTCTATGTCTCTATACTGGTCAGGCTCGTGTTGTCTGTGGTGGCTGTAGCGTCTGTCTCTGTCCGTGTTGCTGTTGTCATGACTAGAACGCCTTCGCCTGCGCTTACGCCGATACCCTCGAGGAACCGGTACACCAATGTAGATGGACTGATGATCTGCTGGCAAAGATGATCCGAAGACACGTTAAATATATGCCACATCTGAAACAATATTTGAAACAATTAGCCGTCAACCTCTTACAGTATGTAGGATACATACCGGTCGGTACGCACTAAGGAAACAACCAGTCATCCTGCACCTCCTTTGGGCCTGAGACAAAATTTGATTATATTGGCCTCTAATTCTGCCAATAATATTGATTAGTGATCATTCATTGTTGAATTTCCTCTTGAGGGGTTAGAATGAATATAATAATTTAAAACAACAACAACAACAAAATACACTCTAAAATTGGACTGGGGTTTGACTTACATACTTTTCCAAGTAATAAAGCCCCACAAATGCAATACTTAATGTCACCCACCGGGGGTGTCCAACTCAGGTCCTCGAGGACTGCGAACATGCATGTTTTAGATGTTACCCTCCTCCAACACACCTGATTGAAATGATCGGCTTATCAGCAAGCTCTGCAGAAGCTTGATCATGACCCTATTTGTTTGAATCGGATGCGGAGGAGGAAGGATAGTGGCCCTCAATGTCCGAATTCGGACACCTCTGTAGGCCTACTAAAAGTAATATAAGTAACATAAACCAGTATACAATGTATTTACTGTAAATTGGTTTTGGTTTTAAAAACTGCAACAGCAGTTTTCTCAATAATTTGTCATGCAACAACAACAATAAAGTGCAACCACAAATAAAATCGAGTAGCTATAAAATAAATGATAAAATAAAATAAAAGTGCCAAGCAGACACTTAATGATCGATTGAAACAGAAGTTTGACTCAAGTCTTGAAATGATGTAAAAAAAAAGAAAAAATACTTGATTAGAACATACTGTACATTAGAAATCAGCCACCACCGCCGCCCGTCATCATGTACGGTACTACGTCTCTCACAGGAGAAAATATTTTCATCCAGTTTATAACGAGTCCCATTTCAATATGGCTTCTCGTGATAGACATTGGCTTAAAAAACTGAATATAATGATATCATAGTCAATGTTGACTTTTTCAATAATATTGGCAGATGAGATTTTTCACTCCACTTTTTACTCAGTGGAGCATTTTCTCAAGTGTTAAACCACTGAATGAATTACACATCGCATACATCAGTTTACCTGTTCATCTAAAATTTCTAACTGCATAATTTATTGAGAAACACAACCTGTGTTTATTCTGAGAGGGCTCGAAAAATATTTCACTCACCTTCTTGCTCCTCATAACGTAGGTGTGAGACCCCCATCCCTCTTTCTCCGTGCTCCATCCTAGTAATGACAACAAAGGGTGATAAGTTAAGAATAAAACTCATGCATGTTTTAAAACTGTTCTTTTTTCAAGTTGTTATTTTATATTTGCAGTGGTTATGGATTCAGGTATACTGTATTTGGTTTGGTGAAAATGTTTTGGCTGACTTTTCACATTTCTGACTTCATGTTGTAATGCGCAGACATTTTTCACATTTACTTTTTTGCACAATTTTGATGGACTGTATTTTCCGATGAAAGTTTAACTCGAAAATCTCATAGTTGTTTTTCTGGTATGGAATGAAAACATCAAAATATGAAGACCGCAAAGTTTGATGAAACTTAAAATCAGCTCCACTCCCAACATGTTTTGTGATTATGTCTGCATGTTGTTATCGAATTTATTTTTATGTGAGTAGGCTTGCAAAAGGACAGCCTAATGAGTTGCACGTGTGTGTCATTGCTCTGATTCTATGAGCGCCAAACAAGAGCAACAGCAGTTGTGGATCTTGTGCACTGACCTGCATGTTGACTTATGTAGGAGATCAATGGGAAAATAATTAAAAGCCAGGCTAAGTCAATGGAAATTTGCATGATTGAAACTAACGTGAGGGTAACTTGGTGTTGCTGAACATCTGTGCAGAAGAAGGAAGGTCAGTGTGTGTCACTGTGAGAATTGTAGTTTACTTTATAACAAAACCCTTTTTTTTTTCATCTTGCACTTGACTCCCAAAAACGAAAAGCGATACCAAAACGAATAAAAACGAAACTAAAATGAAGCATACTTGAACAATCTTAAAACTAATAAAAACTAACAAACTTGCTCTTAAAATGGATTTGAAATAACTGAATTTAAAAAGAAAAGCAACAAAAAAAATAACTAATGAAAAATCCCAACCTACAGCAACACTGAATAGCAGCCTGCCAGAACAAGCTGTTAATGGTTAACATTAATTAACCATAACACAACACACACACACACACACACACACACACACACACACACACACACACACACACACACACACACACACACACACACAACCAAGCAATACCACTGTAGAAATCTATTCCAATAAATGTTATTTTCAAAGTATATCACATATTTATTAATTTATTATTCTTGAATTGTAATTTTAGTATGGCCTCTACATTTTTAATTTGTATTTTAAAGACTGAGCAGGCACTCAAACTGCAAATTAGTTAATGATGTCTGTGCCTTGTCCGATGTACCTTGTCCACATCAGACATTCGCTTTTCCATCCTCTTCTTCCCTCTGGAAAACGCCACGGGACATTTAAGTCAAGAACCACAAGGTTTCCAAACAGCTTCTACCACAAAGCTATGATATGATATGCATCTGCCCCCATCCTACAGGTTGAACTCATGATTACCGGCATAACACCCCTTACACAAAAGTGTGATATAATGAACAAAATCTGTGCAGTATTGTCTGATCAAAAATATCAGTCTAATATCGCAACCGAAATTATGGCTCAACTCCCATATCATAATACAGACATTCTTGCAAATATGATTTTTTTTTTCTCAATGTGGCAAATTGTGAGATGTCTAACTGATTTTATGACAGTGACGATTGAGTTTTATTCTATTCTATGCTATGCATCAAACAATTTCCCCATTTTTAAAGGGAGTGCTCTATGTATCATTCCTGTTAAATAAAAAAATAATCAATGTTAATTTGACTGTCCTTATAATTAAAAAGTAACACGCACACATTAAGCACACTTTTTTTTTTTAAACATCCCAAACCTGATTGTCCAGTACTTGTGCATTCACATGTACATCACCTGCATATTCTCGCTCTGTCTCACACTCTGCTGGTATTTGATTCTCAGGCTCCCCTCTCTCAGGATTTGTAACTCTCTTTTCTGCTCTGTGTACTCTCTCAGAAAGCAATGTCTCTCAAGTCCTCTGAAGGTCTCTCTCTGTGGCACTCTCAGTTTGTCTCTCTTTAGCTATTTCAATAGTGTCATCATCTGGATTTGGTCTCATTGTCTGCCACATTTTTAGTCATAATGGTGAAGAAATGTCCTTTTCCTTTTCCCCTTCCCATTTTGAACTAGAGACAAAAATCAAAGTAAAGGAATACACCCTATTTCAGCAACCCAGTCTGTAAATCAGTGTTTCCCAAACTTTGCTTAGCCAAAGCATATACCGTATTTCACATTGGAATAAAAATCTCACGGCCGCACTCTAAGCAAAACGATTCTCAAAAACTGGATAGGTCTACCGAGGTTAATGATGTACCTTCTGTCATCTAGTGAAAGGGCATTTGATTATTCTGTCTGTTACTATACATGCCTGGCATAGAAAAATTAACAATATAAATCATTGATGTCCCAGTAATTGACACTGGTTAATTTCCCGTGGCACATCTTATGATCTCTCACGGTACACTGGTTGGTAATCGCTGCTGTAAATAACATTTATTATAATGGGCTACTATTGTGGGCTTATTTGGTTTTGTGTTGGGTTATAAGTGTCTCAGGAAGGGTCTCAACATTTTAATTATTGATGTTATTGTTTTCTTCGCGTTGATTTTATCCTTCGTGTCTGCGAGTTGATTTAAGTCATACAGTTAGCTCTTTGTGCTGCTTCTGCCTTCATTTTTTCCCCCAATAATTCTTCAGCAGCATCCCAGCTATCAAATGTGTAGTAATCCCGAAATAAAATGAATTATTAAATCACTCATTATGTCTTTAAATTTGCTCATTTCTGTCCTCAGAGTTCTTTACGTTTACTTTTCAGAAAATCTGACTGCATCAGGTTGATATGTTTACTCGTATATTCCAATGGCTATGGGTGCTGCACATTCATTTGGAACCAATGTTCCCTCTCAGCTGCGCTCATGAGCAATTGCACAGTTCTCGCGCCCTCTCGGCGCACACAATGATGATGACGCTGGCGTGCACCATGCACACACTTTACATTTCTACATTCATTCCAACCCAGTTTGATCTACAAACAGGACACCACACCGTTCCCACGTCCCTTACAGTTTCAGGAATGTGACTGAGGATGCATACTCAGTTATTCTACTCTATTATACTTTGAAGCATACATTGACACACATACAGTCACACTCACAACTGATTAGAGGCTGCTGGCAAAGCGGGGAGTACTCAGGAAGTCCCAACATGAGCAAGTAAATCAGGCTCTTTTCTGAGTTTAACAGGACAGGTGACTAGAAATTATTTTGTTTTATTAAAGATGTTTTCTTTCATTTGTGAGTGGGCAATGCATGATCATATTCATACAGACTGTATTTAGATTTCATTAATTATGCTTTAAATGACCTCAGATCTGAAATAAAAATAACAAACTAGGGCTGATGTTATTCATGTCACAAATCTCTACTCGTAGATATGATAATGATATGCTCTATTTTGATATATAGGTGCTTTTTTTAATAATCTCATAAACATTGTAGCTGTGCCCTCAAGTGCCTTAAAACAAAAAACAGATTGATCCATTTATCTCTCTCTCTCTCTCTCTCTCTCTCTCTCTCTCTCTCTCTCTCTCTCTCTCTCTCTCTCTCTCTCTCTCTATATATATATATATATATATATATATTTATATATCCATTTTTATCTTTTTTTTTGTTGATTTGGAATGACAGGAAAGACAAACTCCAACAATATTAAAATTCTGTTTCTGTTGATTTTTGTGAAAAAAAAAATGCACAAATGAGGTCGTGCACTTTATTTGGGATTCCTATTTCACAGTTTTGTGCTTGAATGGTTCTTGAATGGTACTTTTCATGCATGAGGGCTCTTTCCACTAGGGAAAGAAAATCACAGCATGTGGTTATTTTTTGATTGTTGAAACACTTTGTTGTTGAAGGGTGGATCGTTTTATTCATGCATTGAGCATGAGATATATTAAGGTACTGTGATGTACATTGGTTCAATAAAAACAGACATATGCACATATTTTGTCCAAAGTGCATTCGCTTAAAAGTGCATGAACCTACGCGCCCCCCTGTAACTTTTAAATTTCCAACCCCTGTTTTTTATTGACACAATGCATGAAAATAGTGAATTAGCATCATGTCTTAATGAGTCTTTCCTCTTTACAAAAGTTGCCATTCAGGTTTGCTCTCAGAATGTGATGTGTGATTATTCAAGTTAAAACCATTATCCCAGTGACTCGTCACAATGCTCTTACTATTGTGGACACCCCAGAGGGATGGGATGCGAGGAGCCTGGTGGAGTGTCAAGCCAAGCTGCGCTGCAGTTGGGAATGTTTGCAGTGGTGGCTTCGTAATTAGGGCTGTCACATCGGTGTCCTTCACACCCAGTAGGCAGCAGGGATCAATGGGATCACCCTGTCAAAACTGAACACAAGCTGCACTCAACTTCACATGCACATGGAATCGTGCGTTTTTGTGCTCGGCTGCTTGCACATATACACGATACAGTATCGTATACGCTGGAATCCTCTTCAACTGCTCCATAATGTCGCCGATTAGACAGAGTATACTCTCCCACCTCCCATTCGAGGATGAGACACAAATTCTCAAGATTCTCAGTTGGGTTGAGGTCCCAAGAAATGCTTGGCCAGTTTATCACTTTTCTCCTCTCTTTCTTAAACAAGAAAGAGGTCTTTTTGGAGATGGATTTGGGGTCATTATCATGTTGGAAAAATGGCATGCGGCCAATCTTCTATAGTTAAGCGGTTATGCTGTGCTTCAGTACATGTTGGCATTCATTCAGTGAACTGTTGCTCCCCAGTGCCGGCAACACTCATGCAGCAGCATCATACAGCAACCATCAATCCTCTATTGTAATGGAATGTTGTTTTTGCTTATCATGTTGAAAGGTTAATTGATGATAAGAAAGCCGATGTGAAATTATGTCAGCGCAGATTAAGGTGATTGTGCTAATTAGAGAAGCTTTAAAACTGGTCTTTCAACTAGTTGAGTATTTATTTATAATCATAAAAATTACAACTTTCCTCTGAAACGTAGCAGTCTGTTCCTGTTTTGATAAATGAA